GCGGGGCGAGTGAGCCTGGGAGGGCGGGGCCTGTCTCGAGGGGCGGGGCGGGGCGGGGCGGGGCGGGGCTCCTGCCTCGGTTTCAGGCTCAGGTATCCCGCGCCGGGCCATCGCGAGGTCGCCCAGACGTTCTCACAACCCCGGCGTCGGTGTCTTGCTCTTCACTGCTTCCTCCCGCAGCAGATGTGCCTTGGGGAATAATGCCCCCGGGTCTCCTAGGCGCTGACCTCGGCCTCAGACCTCCCTGTGCGGCACCTAACCTGTCCCTGGATCCCCAGCGCCCTGTGCCGGCGCACACCAGGCACTCCGCAGCTGTGGCGAGTGGGTGAGGGAGGAGCAGTAGGCCTGAAGATCCTGGAGAGACTAGCTGCCCTTTGTACGCTCTCTGGGCCTTGTAGCTGCTCCCAACTTTGCATAAAGTTGGCAAGTTAAGGGGCCCATCCTGAGACAGTGGGGCGTGTGAGCCCCCAGTCTGGACGTTCCGTTTAGAGATTATTGACGTACCTCTAAGGTGTGAGACAGCTTCGCGTTGGAGTTTCTGGTGGAGTCGGTTCTTCACATCCTCCAGACAATCCGTCCACCTCTTCTGACTGTTCCCTTTCCCCTGCTTATTGTTATTTGTTTCTTAGCTTTTTTATTATGGAAAATTTCAAACACATACAAAAATAGAAAGAGTACTACTAGTAACCTCCTGTGCTCATGCCTGCAGTTACCCACATGTGGCCAGTCCTTCCCAGGGCTCCCATCGCGCCTGCTCACACCCGCCAGTCATTCTTCTGATTTCACTCAGAACATCCCAGTTGTTAACAGGCTGAAGTCAGTTTGTGCTCTCATCGGTTGTTCTTGTGAGCCTCACACAAGGTGTTCTTTCGCCTTTTCCCAGAATTCTCCAGGTTTAAACAGCAGTAGCTTATTTGGAGGACGTATGCCCGTTCCAGGCAGTTCTGCCATGTCATGTGTCTCACAGTCTGGGAAGGAGGTCAGGTTGTCTCCATTGTATCAGTGAGGTAGTAAGTGACACCTGCAGTGTAAGTCCAGGCTTTCTGACTTAAAGTTGTGCTCTTAACTGTGCTGTGGTATTTTTCTCTGAGGCAAAGGTAAAGTTCCTGCTGAGGAAGCCAGGACGTACATGGGCAGTGTGTCAGGGTGTTTAGGATAAATGAAAAAGGAAAAAAAAAATACAGGTGCTCATGTGTGTGAATGGAGACAAAAGATGCTTGTGTGGCCTCCCTGTGAGAGAGGTCAAGGACCAGGGACCAGGGGCATCGCTGCTCAGTGCTTTGCTGTCTGTCTTCTGCTCTCTGGTGGGACGCTGATATTGCCGGCATAGACCTCCATCCTGATCTCTTGGCTCACATGTCATCTCTACATCCGTCTCCTCTTAGATGTCCCACAGACACCTCAGACTCAGTGTGCAGACTTCCACTGCCCTTTCTGCCTCTTCCCCTTCCCTGTCTAGGGGCATCTCCACTCTCCTCTTGCAGCCTGGAGAGCACCTGATTGTCTTTCTCTCATGCCCCATGCAGACCGCTGTCAAGTCCTGGATGCCAGGGTTGCTCCAGGCACCTGTAGGGTGACCGTTGCCTCTGACCTGGGTCATCCTGCTTCTTGACCAGTTCTTCCACAGTGTCTGAGCATGGCAGCCACGGTGACCCTGTGACGCCCAACTGCCCTCAGCCCTCCTTTCCTCACAACCCAGGGCCCAGACTTGCCCTCTGATCTGTTTCTGATCTTGTTTGCTCTGCTCCAGCCACAATGACCTCCCTGTGCCGTCACTCTGCCCAGAACACCTTGTGTTCATGTATCCCCTCCTCCCTTGGCTTTTGCTCACAGGTTACCTCTGTGTCTTACCTGCCCTTCCCACTGACTTAAAGTTATAGTCACCCCGACTCCTGTCCCCTTTCTTCTGGTCTTTCTCCTTTTTCCCTGACAGTTATCACAGAATGTACCGTACAGACGACCTGTGTGTTCTTTTTATCTGGTGCTGCTGGCCTCCCACTGCTGGAGGAGAAGCTTTGTGAGAACAGAGACTTCGCTATTCCCTAATGTGTCCCCAACGCCCAGAGCAGTGTCTGCACCCCTGCATGAGTCAGCGTTTCCTCCGAGGCCAGCAGTGACTGTCCCTGGCCAGAGTGTGAGTGTCTGCACACAGGCGTTGGAGTCTGAAGGACCAAGGTTTGAATTCCAGCTCCACCTCTTCTTAGTGTGAGAACGTGGACAAGGAGCCCAGCATCTGCCTCAGTTCCCGTTTCTTGGGGATGATCTTATTCACTTCGTGGGGTCGTCACGAAGAGTAAGTGAACTGATGTGTGCCGTAGCCCATACCAGGCTCGCAGTACTCAACAAACACAGATACTGAATGATGTTGAAAACCAGGAAGGGGTGCAGTAGAACTTAATTGGAAATGTGTGACCCTGAGTGACTTATTAGAGGTGTTCCTAAGGGCTGCGCTGCTCTCTGGGGAGGACACCCTGCTGTTACTTTGTGGCTGTGACTGTCCTCGTTTCTGGCTCTTGAGTAAGTTTCCTTGGCCTTAGATTAGAAATCATCTTCCCTACTTCATTAAGTGGGGTTTTGAAAGTCAGTTTTGTTGAAACACAATTTATATATAATAAATGCACCTGTTTTAAGGGTAGAGTTTGAGTTTTGCAGCATATCACACTGTGCAGCTGTTAAGAATGGTGTTATAAAATAGAACTTATTAGTGTTGTGGTGTCAAGGACCACTTTGACAATCTGATAAAAACCACATAAATTTTAAAAACCTATCAGGATTTATTCTGTATCATTGACAAGTTTCCCCCTGAGGAAGATCATTCTTTTACAAAGAATTACACGTGTGTATCTCTGTTTCCATGTACAATATAGTGGCCATTCTCTGAAAATAATTGAAAAAAATCTAAACTGTGCAACTAAATAAAAACAAACTTCTTTCAAAATAAGAGTCATTGATCAGGTTGCTGTTTTTGGCTGGAGTAAGAACTTGAAATTGTTCAGTGATCTGTGACTTGCCAGCGTGTGTGCCAGCTTTATCTTTGATGTTCAGTGGATTTTGATCCTTTCTTTAGATCCTTCAGGTTAAAGTCATGTCACATCATTTCTTTTGTCCTCCGGGCTGTGAGATAATCTTTAGCAAAGGTGGCACCATGAATGCCACTGTCTGCCTACAGACAAATATGAGGCTTTGTCATTCCTGACTGCTGACGGTGGAAGTACTTCCTCAGTAATGCAAAGTGTCAGTGAGACAAGTAACTTTTCCCCCCCAGCAGCACTACTAGGGGCCCTAAATGAAAGGCTTATTTTTATACAGCCAAAAACAATCTGTAAATGAACCGAGCGGTGGATGAGTAAAAGCAGAGGGAAGACTTCCGCTTCTAGTCGTAGCAGAGAGCTGGCAGTGAGTAGCGCTCTTGCCCTGAGCAACTGTGAAAGTAGCAGAGTGTACGAACTGACTGTTTTCAGATGCTGGACAACAAGCATTGCAGGTCTGAGGTCCCCAAGCCCACTGGCCCGGCTTTCTGCTCAGAGACACTGGGACGGGGAGTCTGTCCCAGGAGATCGTGGTGGTAGCACTGAGCTGAGGGCACGGGTTAGATTTGGAGTCTCCTGAGGTGGGTGGAGTCACTGGGGCAGAGGAAAGGGGTTCCAGAAACCTGCTTGGGGTCTCGGGCTCAGCAGCCGAGCAGAGAACATGCCCTGGGGAGGGACAGCAGTCGAGAGTCACCGCCACCTGAGCTCAGAGCGTGGGAAGACATTCAGCTCTGAGCAGCCAGGACGGAGCAGCCTGACGATCAGCAGAGGCTCCAGAAGGGCCGTCGGCAGCGCAGGAGGGGGTGCTCTGCGTCTGTCCTGCAGGGGCTTCAGAGTGAGGGTAGGAAGCGTCGCCCCGACCTGCAAGTGTGCTAACCCCCGGCCTGGGCAAACTAGTGCTCTCCTAAGGAAAAGGACAGAATGCAGTCACCTGGCAGCGCGGCACCACACGGCCAGCACGCTCTGAAGCCAGCAGACGTGGGAAGCGGCAGGAAGACACAACTCGACCAGGAGGAGCAGTCAATAGAAACAAACCCGGAAATGACAGATGTGAAAGTCAGACACAAACCCAAGACAACGCATAAATGTAGTCTAGGATTTAAAGTCATGAACACGGTGAGGGAAAGTGTATGGACTCTCACCAGAGAAATGGAAACTGTAAAAGAGCAGATTCCAGAAGTGAAGAATGTAGGATCTGAAGTGAATAACTCACCTGATGGTCTGAGGAGCAGATGAGGTACTTGACAGGATAAATCGGTGATCTTGAAGTTTGGGCAAGAAGCTACCCAGACTGTCCGGAAAGGGGGGAAACACTGGAAAAACCGGAGCCTTGGTACTTAGTAGGACAACATCAGGTAGTCTAATGTGTATGATCAGAGGAGCAGAAGGAGAGAGGAGGGAAATTGGGCTAAAAAAAAAATTAATGAAACAGTAGTAGAAAAAAATCCCAAATTTGAACCGAACACGCCACAGGTCCAAGAAGTTCAACAAACTCCAAGCAGGATCTGATTTAGCAACAAGTTAAATCATAATTGCTGAAAACCAGTGGTGAAGAAAAGTCATAAAAGTAGGTGGAAATAAAAGATGCATTGTCTGCAGGGAAACGGTCGCCGACTTACCTGAGATCACAGCAGACATGGGCAGCGTCTTTAAAGTGCTGCCCATTTACAGTCAGCTGTGTTTTTCCAGAAAATCTGACCTGACAGTCTATATCCAGTGAGATGTTTTTCAGAAATGAATGGGGTGTGGGGGAGTGTGCAGCTTGGGTAGAGGGTCCTGGGTTCAACCCCCAGTACCTCCATTAACAAATAAAAAAACCTAATCCTTCCCCCACCAAGAAAAAAGAAAGTGGAAAATGAATGTTAAATAAAGATATTTTCGTAAACACGAAAGCTGAGAAGAGTCATTGCCAAAAGGTGTACACTAAAATGTTGAAGGAAACTGGATTTGGAGGGAAATAATCCCAGATGGAAATGGAGGTGCCTGGCGAGGAATGAGGCGTGCTGGAAACAGTAAATCTTGGGGCAAATATACAGTGTTGTCTAGTTTTAAAAGTTCTTTGACAGGTAATTGGCTGTTTAAAGCAAAAATGAAAGTGGATTGTTGGATTTCTAATGTGAAAGGGCAGCTGTGGCAGGAGTCGTGCTGAGGAGGGAGCCAGAGCCCGGCTGCTCCCAGAACCTTGTGTCCTGCGCATCAGCCATAGCCCATGGGAGGGATGCCCACCGCGAAGTCCAGGGTAGCCACTGAAAATGTGGAACAAAGACATGGTGATCTGTTCACATAAATACAGATAAATCCATGGACACAACAGCACCGGGAATTCAGAAATGGAGTCACGTTTACAGTCAGCTGCTTTTTTCCAGAGCAGTTCATTAGGAAAGATAACATCTCTGTAAGAAGCCGTGTTAGACTAACTGCCGTCTCTGCGGGGAGAAATGAACTTAACCATCTACTGCACCCCCGCACACACAGTAATGTGTTCCAGGTGGACCATGGCTCCCCCCACTAAAACCATCATGCTTTTACAGAAAATCATATGAGGGTATCTTTGATTACTTAGGCTGTGTCCAGGAAGCATAACTAAGTATGCAAAAGGATTGATACGGTGGACTTCACAAAATTTAAAACTTCTGCTCATCAAAGATGTAGTTAGGAGGATGAACAGGCATGCCACAGAATGGGGACGTCACAAGACACACGTGACAGAGGCCTTTCCCCTGAGGGTGTGGGTCAGCCCAATGGTCAGGTCTGAACAGGCGCTTCCCAAAGAAGTGGGGGGCCCCACAGGGTTAGTCGAAAGGTAGATGTAAATTAAAGATGACACGCTGCTGCTGTACCCTCACCAGAAGGTCAGGAACACAGACCAGCAGGCGGCCCTGGAGCCGGCAGCCCCTCTCTGGGAGGGCGTCCAGTTGGACCGGCACCTAGAAGCTGGCCCAGCAGCTGAGCCCAAGTCCGACAGCTCATGACTCCATAACCCCTGCTGGGTCATTACCCTCAGGACTCAACTTCACAGATGCTCTCAGCTGCTGGTTCAAGATTGTCCCAAACAGGAAGCGAATGGCTTCCGTGGCTGCACTCATGTGCATCCATGGGAAGGGATGCTGCTCAGCAGTGACATGAGACTGCTGACAGTGCGGACATCTGCGGGACGGACCTCAGAAATGTGGCACTGTGACGCAGCTAGATGCAGAAGAAGACACTCTGGTTGTGATGTGATGTTCTGGGACAAGCCGGAGTCATCACTGGTGAAAAAACCTAGTATTTGCCTACGCCGCTGGAGACATTAGTGAGGGTCAGAGGCGTGTATCTCTGGGGTAGGGGGGGTTCCTGTCTTGCTAAGACCGTGGACTGCGTACATGTGGCACACCTTGTGCTGTGCACCCATCTGAAGAGATGTAAATTTTACCCCAATTTTTTTTTTAAAATCAGGTTCAGTTCCAGCTCAACAAAGATAAAACCCCTTCCCAGTACTCCTTGAAGTGTCATCACACCCGGTCCTGTGGAACCCTGGAGAGCACATGTGTAGTGGGCAGGGAAGCCTCGAAATTGGCCACCATTCGGAGACCTCAAAACCGATGAGAGTGACACTTTTGGATAGCAGATAGGGTTGATCTCAGTACGGGGCAGAAGCCTTGTGGGGTCAGTGAACCGTGCTCTTTCCACTGAAGAGACCGAATGGGGCAGGTCACGCAGTGTTCCACGTGTGCAGGGTCAGAGGTTTCCTTCCTGTTGAAGTTGAGCTTGGCATAGAGCTTGTAATAAATTTGAATTTCTCAAAACACCTGAAGTTTCCAAAAGGGGCTCAAAAATAAGAATTTTTTTAAAGAAAGTGAGCCTGGCTTAATAAAAGTGAACCCAGTTCCAGCTTCCCTGAGAGATGTTGCCAGTGCTGTGTGGTCACATGCTGGCGGGAGTGTGGATGGGGTTCCTCTGTGACCCCACTGGAATGTCCTCAGGGGCCTCACCCCAGTTTCCTTCCTTTGCTCCAAGATCTGCACAGCCAGACTGCACCTGGGCCCCTGGCTTTGCCGGGGCTGCCTCGAGAGCGAAGTCCTTGCCCGGGCATTGGTGCTGTTGGACAGGCCTCAGTTTGGTAGAATTCCAGTGTCTTCAAATCAAGTGCTCTTTTTATTTAAAAAAAAAAAATCAGTTAATTTGCTACACAGACAAGCGTAATACACCCCTGAGTTTTACGCTTGACTCATGGGACTCTGCAGGTGAGGAAGGTGAAAGCACGCCTGTGCTCTCCCTGCCTGGAGACGTTCCTGCCGGAGCCCTGGGCCTGATGGGACTGGTCAGTGACAGTCACTGAGGATCCATCCCAGTCTTACTTTTTAAGTTATCTCAGGGTTCTGGGGGTCCGGATTTTATTTTATTTTTTTGAGCTTTATAAATTTTTCAGGTGTTATGAGTTGAATATGTCGTTCAATGTTTTTGTTTTTGGACCTCAGTGAGCCAAATTGGGTCCCTCAGATCGGGTTCATGAGGCCTGGTGGCTGCTGCTGTCTATTGCTGCTTTTATGTGCCAATTCCTTTACGCGCTGGGGGCCAGAGCTGCTCCAGTATCTGTCCCCCACCCACACCAACCCTGCTTCTCCTGCCCCACCCCTCCAGAGCTGCTGTGTATGTGTCTCTAGGACCCAGGTTCATGGTGTCCCTGGGGTTCGTGTGCTCGCATGTGTGGGTCGCCTCTCTGTGGCTCTGTAAGGCCCCACAGACTCAGGAGTCCCTGTTACTGCTAACTGCATGTTGCTCTTTTTGTATCAGGAGAGTCTGTGGCGAGGTTGGCCCTGCGTGCCTTCCTTAGGCTCCAGTCCTGTCTGCCAGCGTAGACAGACAGCTGGAGTCCAGTAAGGCATTAGCTGAACATGTATGCTGACAAGTCTTCACTCCTGCGTGGTGCTCAGTGGGAGGGAAGTTGTAATACATGGGGGATTCTTCATCCTGTCGGCTCTGAAGATGCCCGTGGCCACATGGTTCCCCAGTGTTCTCTGGAGCTTGTCCACTGAATGACCCTTATCCAGTGCTGTTTGGAGGTGGCACCATGGCTTCCTCTACGAGTTAGTGACCTTGAACATGCCTACCCACCAGCTCCAATCTGCTCCCTACAGGTGTCTCCGTGTCAGCTTTTAATCTGTGACTGGGACGCGCTCCTAACACCCTTGCCGACCCCCATCTCTGCTTCCAGATAAACGTTGAGGACCTGGAGGAGGGCCCAGTGGTGAACGGGGAGCGGCCGGATTGTCTGCTCACAGAGGCGGGGACTTCAGGGAACAAGAGGAGGTCCCAGAGTAGAAGCACAGAGACCAAGAGAGACGGCGAAGTGGCGGACAAGGAGGGGCCCCCGGAGCAGGTGTGACCCTGTGGGGACCAGGAGGTGCCGCCTCACACACTCTGCTGTTGTTTTCTGGGTTCCATGTTGTTAATTGCCCAGCTGCCCCAGCGTTTCCTTGGGAGCCCTGATGGGGTTTGCATGAAATCTATAGTAGCAGTGGCTGGCGGGGGCTGTACCCAGGGTCCCCGCGACTAGTCTTACCTGCACGAGGCTTGCCTCTGCGTTGTGAAGGGTCTGCTCCTGCCCAGGTGCAGTTTTCTCTGTGACTGTGTCTGCGGCTTGGTTGGTTGGACGGGGTGTTGGGTGGACACACCTTGAAGAGACGTCCAGGCCAGCTGAGGGTTGGGTGTGGTGCCGGCCAGCATGGCAGGGAGGGTCTCTGCAGGGCCTTTTGCCCTTCATCAGCATGTATCCACTGTGAGCCTGCTGGTGGCCCTCTGGGGACCTCTGCCCAATGGGTGGCACAGACACGGGCTGAGCGGTGCAGCTCAGGGTGGTGGGGCTTCCCTGAGGACCTGCACACCATGGCGGAGCGGGGTGTCAGGTGGCCGCACGAGAGGTCTTGAGGCAGAGGGCCTGTGGGGTGGGGAGAGTGAAGACACAGCGAGGATGAGAGCAGGGCCAGGCACACAGACAGTCGTCAGGAGGCCCGAGCAGGGTGGGGGCGGCTGGTGGGAGGCAGAGACACAGGTGAGTCGGTGGGACGCTGGGGACGACAGGGTGGCAGCTCCGGTTCTTGGGCTGTAAGGTGTAATAGTCTCTTTCCACCGATTGACATCTCTTTCTTTGTCAGTCTAACGCAGCCGGGAAGCTCCGCAAGAAGAAAAGGAAACAGAAAAACAAGAAAACCGCTGCAGGAGAGGCCATGGTGTGTGCCTGTCACTCCTCTGCTTTTCTGACTGGTTTCTTTTCAGTTTTCAGTCTTGTTAGGTAGAATTGTTATTTTCCTTTTTTTTTTTTTTGAGGGAGAAAGTAATTAGGTTTATTTGTTTGTTTACTTAATGGAGGTACTGAGGATCAAACCTAGGACCTCTTGCATGCTAAGCATACACTCTACCGATTGAGCTATACCACCCCCCATTAGGTGGAATTGTTATAATTTGCACATATGCAGTGTATTGCATGTAAATACATATACACAATATACTGTACATATTTTTTTAAACGTTTTAAAAAATATGTGTACTGTTCATTGTTTCTAAGATTGTTAAGAGCTTTAGCTTTTTAAACTTACATAGTTATCAAAGGAATAAAGCCAACAAAATAAGAATTAAATCAAACAGATGCATACACCCCACTATCAATAGCAGCATTCTTTATAATTACCAAGATACGGCAGCATCCTAAGTGCACATCAGTAGACGAGTGGATACAGAAGATGCAGCATGTGTGTGTGATGGAATGCAACTCACCCATAAGAGAGAAAGATATTTTGACATTTGTGGCTTTTCGTTCACTTTTTTTTTCACTTCATAAACCAGAGTTTTGTAACTGGCTTAAATATTTCTATTGCATCAAAAAAAGACAAAATACCTGGAAATAAACTTAACCAAGGAGGTTACCAATATTTTGAAACCTGTAAAACTCTGGCTGTTTCTTAAGGTGGTTTGGAGAACCATTTATTTTTGCTTGATGTTTTATTTGACTCACTCAGAGGTCGCGGGACCTCTGAAATTTGTTCCCTTCTTTCCTTGAGGGCCAGAACACCACTCTGTGCTTTTCCATTTTCTGACAGACATCTTGACACGGGGTCCGTTCCCGACCTGTGGCTCTGACTGTTCTGAGCTTCCTCTTAGTACACAGCTCTTTCCCAAATGTCTGTGCAGCCCGTGGTTTTGGACTGCACTGTCTTTCAGGAAGGAAAAGCAGTGTAACACTTGTTCCTTACAAAACTAAACCATTTTGCTGTTGGTTGCTGCACGTAAGGTGAAATCGGTGTGGTGACGAATGTGTCGTTTGGGGGCTCTCAGGAAAACGGCCTGGAGGACATCGACCGCATCTTGGAGAGGATTGAGGACGGCAGTGGCTCGAGCCACCCGGGCCCGCCTCCCCTGAGCACAAAGAGACACGTGCTGTACGTGGAGCACAGGTAGGGCCTCTGCCCTCCCCCCCCGGGGGGGGTTGTCCTCAGACATTTGGGGAGTGGGAATAGGAGGGACATTCTCATATTTCCGAGGACCGTTCTCTGGTTCTGTGAATCTGGGAACGTTCTTTCTTTTAAAAGTAAGATGTCGTTCTGGCCAAGTATGCCTCCCTTGTTCTGGCAGATGGTTAATGAAACCCTGCAGGCTGCTGGCCACCTTCCTTCCTAAGTCAGGGAAGACCCTCAGTCTAGTCCCCAGGCCTGCACTGCTCTGAATTGGCCTGACAGGCGGTGGCTGGTCTCAGCCACGGCCGTGAGGCCGTAGAGCGCATGGGCCTGCACCCTGCCTTTCACGTCAGAACAGCTGCCCTCCCTGCTGGGTTTCTCGGTGACTGTCTGAAATTCCCGGGTCATTGTGAAAGCACTCAAGTTCACTTTTCTCTGTAAAATTTGCAATTCTCTAGGCACTTGAATCCAGACACAGAACTGAAAAGGTATTTTGGTGCTCGAGCAGTCCTGGGGGAGCAGAGGTAAGACCTGCACGCCATGTCCCCTGCTAAGGAGAGGGAAGGGAGGGTGTTTAGAGCCACAGTGAAAAGGTGGGATCTGAATGGGAGCGAGGGAGAAGCTGTACGGCCCTGCCTGTGGCTGTCACCCTCCGCCCCTCACTCCGCCTGCGCCCTGCGCAGGGCCTGGTTTTCCACGGACTCTGGAACTGAGCTCCTGACCCTGCAGTCTCAGCCAGGGCGATTTTTGCTTCTCAGTCAGGAGCACTCTGAGATCGGTTTGGTCTCTGTTAGTGGGTGTCGGTGGCCAGTGGTGCGGTGCAGAGGCCCAGAGCGCAGGGGTCCCCGGCGCCCTGCTGGAGGGTGGCTGTCCTGCCCTGGCCGCTCCCTCACAGGGTCCAGCCCAACTAGAGCTTTTACTTGGCGGAAGCTGTATCTTTTCAAATACATGTTTTTTCTGATTATAGAACTCAGCGTTGCGTATGAAAAAGAACACGTATTCAAGCAGTTCAGGGTTGTCTCCCGGCACCCTCCAAAGATAGCCCTTCACAGTGGTTTGCCACCCCTCTTGGCCTCATGCTTGTGCACATGCGTGTGCACACATGTACACACACATGCACACGCAGCTGAGTCCTTGCGTTGCTGGGGCACGCCCCAGGGTCCGGTGTCGGTCAGCACCACTGCACTTGGTGAGGAGACCGCTGCATGGCGTCCCTGGGCAGAGTTAGCCATGTCACCACTGCCCTCTGAGGGCGGTGCCCCTTGTGCCCATGACCTGCGACCTGGAGGTGGGGAGGCTTTAAAGTCTGTCATTGTATGAAGCCAAAAGCGTCCTTCGTGTTTCGACTTTTGTTTGTTTGATTATGAGTAAGGTTGAGGGCTTTTTGTTACTTGTTTATAATTTTCTTTTTCTCACTGTGTTTGCTTTTATAATTTGCTTTCATATTTGGACACAGGGATCTCTGACTTTGCCTTCTTTTTGGAATATCAGTGAAAACATTTTAACTTTGAAGTCCTCCTCGTCTCCCCAGGGGAGCCCTGAGTGGAGCCTCCCCTCCTCTGTCCATCCGTCCGCATACACGTGTCTTTGCCTGGTCTGGTTTCTATGCACATCACAGTTTTTACTAGAAATTAGTGAATAGTAATTACATATGTTGTTTTTATAGTGTTACACATATTTATTACATTTACTTTTTGAAAACTTCAGTCCTGCCAGAGGGCCTCCTTAGGAAGCATGGCCCCCTGCTCACTCCCTCACCTCACTCCTCAGAGACAGAGTCTCAGCGTGTTTCTTGAGTCTCTGGTGGTTGCCATGGCTCCCCAGACCTGTGCTGCTCTCGCGGGCTCTCCCTTCCGGACCTTCCCTGCCTCCCTGGCTCACCCTCAGTGCGTTTCCACTGCTGTTGATGTCAGCTCCTTGCGAGTGGGCCGCCCCTGGGCTCTGTGGACGAGGCGGCTCCTGTGCATCCAGTTAATTCTCCCTTTTACACCTGACTGGTTACCCAGAGTCATTCCACATCTCCATCTCCTTCAGGGTTTGCCCACACTCTTCTTGAGCAGTTCTCTTGTCGTGTAGGTTTTGACTTTCTTTTTGGTAGAAACATGCTTTTGTTACCCATTCCTAACACAGTCCAGATTCTTTCTTATTATTTTTTTAATGAAATAGTTCAGACGATCAGGAAAGTATACAGAGTAATATGTATTACTCAGCCTAAGAAACGCAGTATCAGCCATAGAGCAGGAGACTCCTGGTGCGACCACAGCTGGGGAGGGTCTGGACCTGCAGCAGAGACCCCGGGCCAGAGGGCTCGGAGCACTGGGCTGGGCACGGAGTGCAGGCCAGCCCTGCTGCCCACACGTGTGCTTCTGTCTGGTGGGCTTTCTTCCAGGAGCGGGCTGTGTTGGGGTCCTGACACCCCCCATCTTCATTGGTACCGCTTTCCCTCTTCACAGCCCCTTGTGTTGGGGGAGGTCTCTCGGGAGCAGGTGGAGCAGCCTTCGGGCTCCGCTCTTGCGTCGATGAGCTGCTGTTACCAGCTTCTTCCCACCCTTGTTGTCTGCTGTCAGGTTTCCAACTTTTGTTCTTTTTGACCTTTCCTGCCGTTTGGCTGGACTGTGTGTTTCCTGTTTTCTTTTCTCTTCCTGAGGTGGTTTGGTTGCTGAGATCACGGTCTCCAGCCTTGTCCAGGGGTGTTAGGTCCCACTGCTAATGCTGTCTGCATTCTGCCCTCGTCCTGCCTAAGAAAGCCCTGCTCCCGCCCAACCCTCCCTACGGAGGCCGGTGGCCTGGGTACAGCCGTGACATGTCCGTTCTCCGTAGGCCGCGGCAGAGACAGCGTGTGTACCCCAAGTGTACGTGGCTGACCACCCCGAAGAGTGCCTGGCCCCGGTACACCAAGCCAGGTAAGGGCACTGTGGGGTCCCTGCCTGGCTGGCCAGGCCACTCCTCTATCTGCAGAGGCTGGAGGGGGGAGGCCGGTGTCTGGGCACAGACCCACCACCATTCGTGTGTTTTCCGAGCCGTGTTTAATCAGCTTTTCTCTACCTTCTTCCTCTGTGTGTGGACACTGAGCCGCAGGAAGCAGTCAGGGTCACATCTCAGCTGTGGTACTATATGTTGTGTTGCAGACCAGTGAGCGCATGTAACTTACGGGGAAGCACCCCAGTATGGGAGGTTTGGGTGTGGAGCAGCCCCTTTTGGGGTGCTTGGCCATGTGACATGAAGGGTCATGGGGCCCCTGTGTCTGTGTGCTTGTGCGAGACCCCCGTGTGCTCAGTGAGGACGTCTTGTCCCCACACCCCAGCAGCAGCCCCTGAGCACAGACAGAGAGGGGTTCATTGCCCCGGGGTCCTGCAGGGCTGGCCAGGGTGAGGCCATCGAGGGAGCATGGGCAGGGGCGTCCTGGGACCCTGAGCAATGTCAAGAAGGCCTTGGAGGGAGAGGAGGTTGTCAGGTTCATTAAAAGAAGCCAGACCCCGTCCACCCAGAGTTAGCATGGGGTGCACAGAGAGTGTCTGGTTGTGGGTTACAGTCCCTGTTGCCTCAGAGGCCTGGCTGCGGCCCTGCACTGTCTCCCACGCCTGGACTCTGGCTCCAAGTAGACAGTGTTTGGGCCTGACCGGTGGTGGGAGGTGAGCTGTGCCCTGTCCCTGTTGTCCTGGGATGCTGCTCCATCCACGCTCCAGGGGGAAGAAACTTCTTTACAGGAAAAGAGTAGATGGGTGGGTGGGGGGGTCACTGGTGTGGCCTGAGCCGTGGACAGTGAGCCCTGGACATCCTGGGGACCTGACTCGGGCACTCCTCCAGGTCTGTCGATGCGGCTGCTGGAGTCCAAGAAAGGCCGCTCCTCCTTTGCCTTCGAGCACAGCGAGGAGTACCAGCAGACGCAGCACAAGTTCCTCGCTGCCGTCGAGTCCATGGAGCCGAACAACATCGTGGTGCGTGTGCCCCCTGCCCCAGCGTGCTCCCAAGGGCCACCGCCTCTGATGTGGCGGTCAGGGCACAAGGTCCCCAGCTCTCACTCCAGACCATGAGGGGCAGGTGGTGAGCACCCCCAGGTTTAAGAGCCTGGGACCTGCCTGGCTGTCATCCCGGGGGGGCCTGCCTCGGCTCTGTCAGCTGCCCTCCTGCCTCATAGGTGCTGCTGCAGACGAGCCCCTACCACGTGGACTCGCTCCTGCAGCTCAGCGACGCCTGCCGCTTCCAGGAGGACCAGGAGATGGCTCGGGACCTCGTGGGTAAGACCTAGTCAGCAGCCGCAGGTTAGGTGCTGGGAGCATGGTGGGTTTGCAGAACGTTGTTTAAGCAACAGCTTTATGGGGGTAGAATTTGTACAGGATGAAAGTCACCTGTTCCGAGTGTCCAGCCTCACCCCGGCTGGTTCTGGGTCGTTTCCAGCTCACGTGAAAGAAGCCCTGACCCCTCAGCTGTCACCCCTCTCGCCCCAGCAGCTGCCAGTCTTCTTTCTGTCTCTGGATTTGCCTGTTCTGGACTTTCCTGCAAATGGGACCATAAAATGCATGTTTCTCCTTGGCCTCTTCCATTTACCACAGTGTCCTCAGGGGTCACCCAGATGGCCAGTGTGTCGTGATGGCGGTCCACGTCTCGTGGCCTGTTCCCCTCTCAGCCCCTGGGAGTGCACCACTGTGGGCGAGTGTGGGTTACCTGAGGAGGTGTGTGCGTCCCTCTGGCTGGAACCCAGCTGTTCCAGTCACACCTCTGCAGTTGAAGTCAGGGTCACATGTGTGCCCTGTCACTTTGCATGTTGCGGTTTTGTGGCTTCCTCCTCCCTCCCAGAGCCTGCCTTGCCATGGGGCACAGAGGACAGTGCAGCCGCCGCTCTGGCTGACGCCCTCCCCGGTGTCTGGCCCACAGAGAGAGCGCTGTACAGCATGGAGTGTGCCTTCCACCCCCTGTTCAGCCTCACCAGCGGGACCTGCCGGCTGGATTACCGCAGACCTGAGAACAGGTGAGCTGGCCGCCTGGGGGCTTCCACGGATGCCCCCCGCTTTCTCTTGCAAGTGTGTTGTAGCCGTCACAGGTGACATGAGCGCGCCGTTGTGGGCGTGGCGGGAACAGTTGGCATGGGACTGTCCGTGAGGGGTCCCACAGGGTCCCTGAGCATCTTGCTGTGCTGGGAGCTTGCATGCAGGAGGCTGGGCTCAAGGCTGGACAGATGAGACTGGCCAGGGTCAGACCTGTCTGTGTCAGGGGGGAGCCTCACCAGCCACGTCGCTATGGTGGGATGTGCAGTTTTGTTTCCTCGTGTGTTTGGACTGAGGAGTCCTCAGCTCTCCAGCTCAGGACACACTAGAACGTTTTGCGGGCTGGCGTTTGTGCTGGGCCTTAAGTCAGCACAGCCCTGTCCCATCCTCACGGTGAGCGGTCTCGCGTGCATGTGCAACCCTCTCTCTTTGCAGTTGCTTCTCCCCCCAACGCCCCCTCCTCCCTGCTGCCCTCACCATCTGTCCTGGCGCCCTCTGCCTGGTCTTCAGGGCCCTGCAGGGGTGGGGGTGCTCTCTGTCCTGGGTGCCCTCCCCATCCGCCTGTCGCCTCCCACCAGCTGTCCTTGGCCATATCCACCGTGGGAGGTTTTCTCTGTCCTGGAGACTGTGCTGGGCCCTGGGGCATGGTGACCCCACTGCACAGATCACCTCCTCTGTGTGCTGGGTCTGAACTTTCTCTGCTGCTTTTGTTTGTGTGAGTTTCTCTCTCCAATTAGATTCTTATTTGTTTGAGGTGCTGTAAAGTGCTGCTATTCCCAGGTGTTAACAGGGCAGTGAGCTATGGATAAAAACGACAGGCCGCCAGGACCTTCGAGTCACAGCCCTTATGGCCCAGCAGCAGTCCTGGTAGCAGCTTTTGAAAACTGGGGGTGGATTAGGGAGGCGACTACATACAGTGAAAGATTTTAACTGTCTTCCCTTAAACGGTAAATAGTTAAAAAAAAACCAAAACCCAGGAAGATGAAGGTTCGAGCTCACAAATAGGCTTGGGTTTCTGTACGTGGCCGCTCGTGTGGCCGCGCACAACTAGCAGGGCGTCACCTTCTCTGCAGACGCAAGAGCCCTGGCGGACGCTCACGCTGCTTAGGCCCCACGGGAAATGCCAGCAGAGCCGGCGGGCAGAGGGTGGACAGTGCTGGACGAGGCGCCGGGCGACGCCCTCGTTCACGAGGAACTGTCTTGGATCTAGGAGCTTTTACCTGGCCCTCTACAAGCAGATGAGCTTCCTGGAGAAGCGGGGCTGCCCACGCACGGCGCTGGAGTACTGTAAGCTCATCCTGAGGTGAGTGTCCGCACCGCTCCGGCTCACCCTTGGGGCCATAGCTGGGGCATTTGCGCACCGCCCACTCTGGGCTTGTCTCCCTCTGCCCTGCCCGCTGCGCTGCCTCCGGAAGCCTGGAGCCGGACGAGGACCCTCTGTGCATGTTGCTGCTGGTCGACCACCTGGCACTACGGGCGAGGAGCTACGAGTACCTGATCCGCCTCTCCCAGGAGTGGGAGGTGGGTGTGAACATGCACCTCAGTCCAGTCTGCACTCCGGGCATGGCTGTGGCCCCACTGGCAGGGTCTGGGCAGATCCCGAGTGCTCCTGCCTCTTTGTCTCCCTCGCCACTTGCTCACAGTGAGCACAGATGTGTGTGCAGAGAAGGCCGTAGGGTGGGGACAGGCCATTACGCCCGACCTCTGGACGCACTGGTGCACGTGGTGGTCTGAGACCAACACGAGAAAGAACGTGAACTGTCTCGTTAATGACCTTGGTGGTGGTTCCATGCCGTAGTGGTGCCGTTTTAGGTATGTTGGGTTACCTGTATGTGTTTATGTTAATCTCACCCATCTTCGTTTTAACGTGGCTGCTGGAAGGTGGACCCTGACATGCGAGCTCACCTTGCGCTCCTGTCGGACGGCAGCATCTCAGACCTGCTCAGGGCACCTCTTCCCATGAGCGGGTAGCGGGCAAGGAGATGACAGCTTTTTCTTTATTTTTGTGCCACAGCACGTGTCTGTGCGCAGTGGGAAGATGGCTGTCTGAACCATTTGGCCTAGGTGGGTGAGAAGCCCCACCTGCGGGGTCTGGTTCACACACCTTCCTCAAGTCATAGACGCACAGGTGCCGGCGCCCCCCACGTGGGGCCTGTGAGGTGGCAGACGCGTCCTGATGGGTGCGCGCCGTGTGCGTCCGCGGTGTGTATGGAGGAAGGTGGGGGCAGTGCAGACTCGGGGGTGGCCCCGCCACCGGCTGTCCCTCCCTGAGCCCCCAGGAAGTGGGTGTCCACCCTCGTCTTGCAGCTGTGGCTGCGCCTCCCGGCCCGGCAGAGTGCCCGTGGGCCCGGTCGTCGTATCTGTCTTTTCCACACACAGAAGCCCCGGGTGTGAGAACGAGGGTCTTCACTCTGAGGGGGTGGCTCGCCCAGGGACATCCGGGCACCTGTAGCTTTGCCTTCTCTGCCTTCACCACCGAGAAGTCCCAAACGTCTCCTCTCCCCGTAGGCTCATCGCAACCTGTCCCAGCTCCCAAATTTCGCCTTCTCTGTGCCGTTGGCGTATTTCCTGCTGAGTCAGCAGGCAGACCTCGCAGAGCAGGAGCTGAGCTCCACAAGGGAGAAGGCGTCTCTCCTGATCCAGCAGGCGCTGACCATGTTCCCTGGAGGTGGGTGCACCCCACAGCCCCATGGCGCGGAGGGTTCCCGTGGCATGCGCCACAGCTGCAGAGCTGAAAAGGAGTTGAAGCGGCTTTGGTCTCAGTGTCTTGGGTTTTAGGGTGTCTTTAGATACTGACTGTTGGAAAATCACATACTCCCTGAAACAGGTACGTTTCTGAGGAGAGGGCAGGGAGCTGGGCATGAGCAGGGCTGAGTCAGCAAACTTAGCTTCTATCCTTGCCCTCAAGTCCCAGTTCTCAGTGAGGTAAGGAGCTCAGAGACGCTGTCCTGGGCCTTGTGGACGACCTCCAGTTTCCTCGCACTCCCTGAAGGTGTGGGTGGGTGCGGGCGGGAAGAGGCCTGCAGCTCCTCCCCTGGGGCCCGTCGGCAACTCCAGCACATCCTCAGAGGGTCTGCCCCACCACCATCAGGTCCTGGTGAAGTTGGGGTCCTGCTACCACGTGCAGCTCCACGAGGGCTGTGTTCCCTCCCCCTCAGTGAGTCTGCTGTGGGCGGCCGGGGTTGGGTCCACGTTGCTCAGGGCTCCCAGCAGACGATGTCCTCTCCTGGCCCCCCATCAGCCTGCGTGTCTTAGCCCAGCTCTCCACACACTGGCTGGGTCTCAGGGGAGCTGACCTTCCCCCGTCGAAGTTCCCAAGTTAAGAGACAAGGGCCTTGACAGGGTGTTAGAGTTCTGGGGTGGGTCAGGGGTCCCTGCACGGCGACCCAGAGCCAACCTCCTTCATCCAGGAAGCCTCCCCTGTCAGAGTGCCGCCCCCGGGAAGCACTGCAGCGGGTGGGTGGGCCGTGTGGTCTTTGTAACTAGAACATCCAGCACATGTGCTTAGGGTGCTCCTGGGTGAATCCCCTCAGATGCAGACAGGGCCACGGGGGCAGAGGGACCAACGGCCCCTCCCTCAGCACCAGCCTCATGGGGCCTGACGAGGGCTCCCCACCCCCTACAGCGCTCATGCCCCTGCTCGAGTACTGCAGCGTGCGGCCCGACGCCGCTGTGGCCGGCCACCGCTTCTTTGGACCTGATGCTGAGATAAGGTAGAGGCGCCTGCGGGGACGGCAGCACACAGGTGCCGTGGGGGTGCCTGCAGGGCAGAGCTGGGGCCTGGGGTGGCTGTCACCCTCCCCCTGCTGCTGGCAGGCCCAGCAGACCCTGTCTGTGTGGGACCTGGGTGGCAGGACTGTCCAGCACTCGGGAGGCCTGGGGCCCAGGCCACGTGGGCGTCTGCTGGGCGACCTGTTTAATTTCGGTACAGCTGTTAGCGTGGTCCAGGCATCTATGCTGGCCCGCACTGGCTCTTTAAATTTCTCATAAGAGTTAAAGAGAAGTACTGATGTGGGAACCAGCCGTCTCAGGCCCTGTGAGTAAACTGAGATGGTCGTCCCGTGTCTGTGTGGCAGACACACATGTTCTTCTATTTGTTTTTGTTGGTAAGAACACCGTACCCCAGGTTGGCAGCCCTCTCTGGGCGCCTCCTTTCACTTTGGGATGCTGGGCACACCTCGGACACCCCCACAGGTGCCAGTGGGCGTGTGGCCTGTACCCTCGGGGGTCTTACAGGCCTCCCTGCCCCACAGCCAGCCCCCTGCCCTGAGCCAGCTGGTGAGCCTGTACCTTGGGAGGTCACACTCCCTCTGGAAGGAGCCCGCCACCATGAGCTGGCTGGAGGAGAATGTCCACAAGGTCCTACAGGCGGTGGATGCTGGGGACCCTGCCGTGGAGGCGTGTGAGAGCAGGTGAGCTGGGGGCCGGGTGCCAGGCAGCGCTACAAGGGCAAGGCCTCCGTCCACACGCTGCCCTCATCTCCCTGGGCCCTAGGCGCAAAGTGCTGTACCAGTGCGCGCCCAGGAACATCCACCGCCACGTGGTCCTCTCCGAGATCAAGGAAGCTGTTGCCGCCCTGCCTCCGGTAAGGGCAGGGCTGAGTGCGGGAGCTTCATGTGAGCTCTGCCCTGGGGCTGGGGTCCCTCCCCTCACAGACACTTGGCACTTTGAGTGACAGCTGTGCCTGCCATGTTCCACGACCTCATGGGGCTCAGACCCCACACTGGTAGCACTAAAGTGAGCTCTGGTCGAGGTCACAGCGTATTGAGCAGAGGTCCTGTGGCCCCCACACACACTTCTACCGCCGGGTGCTTCGAAGTTCTGCATGGGCAGAATGAGTGTCCTGGTGGAGGAAGGACACTCCCCCCCTTCACCCAGAGCTTCTAGTGTTGTGAGCAGCCGTGTGAGCAAGGACCACTCCTTTGCCAGACCTTGTCAGACCACAGAGAGGTCTGGCCGGAGTCGAATCAGCTGGTCTCACTCTGCTCTGCGCCCCTTTCTGAAGGATGTGACCACACAGTCGGTGCTGGGATTTGACCCTCTGCCTCCTCTGGACACCATCTACTCCTACGTCAGACCCGAGAGGTACCTCCTGCTCTTCCTTCTTGCTCACATGGCTCCAGGTCCGTGCTGGGCAGGGGGCTTGTGACTCAGACCCTCAGAGAGCACGGTGACTGGGGTCACAGACCGGCTTCTGCAGGTCATGTCCTAGAAGGCTCTGTCTGTCAGGTTCTGTAGTAGGTGCTGGGGACACAGTGGGAACGGAGAATCTCTGCGCTTGTAGAATCTAGAAATGAGTGTGGAGCCAGAACTGCAGTACCAGACTGCTGGGGAAGGAAGGCGGGTGAGCCCAGGGCGGGAAGACGCAGCCTGTGCCCAGGCCTGGCAGGGGACGGCGGGGGCATGGCAGAGTCCGATCCTGCAGCCGCCCTCAGAGTTGGGTCACAGAGAGGCTCCCTTCTCCTTCCCTCCAGCCTCTCAGGCTGACTAATTGCCTGGGAGAGTCACAGACAAATTTTCCCACTTTCAGACCTCAGGCCAACGTACTTTTGTAGAGTGAACCTTTTTTTTTTCCTCCACTGAATTACATTATAAAAGTTAAGAGTTCACATTCGTAGGGACATCATCCCCGGTTAAGGTTTCCAATCAGTTAAGATGAAAATTACTAATTATTAGTGTCAGTGGGTTGAAAACTAAGCTGACACGCTGGCCAGGGTCACACTGAGGCTGGGTGGGTGCTGGCCGGCAGTGGGCTCACTGAGACATCGAGTAGGGCTGGGCTGTGGCCCCATCTCGCCAGGAGGGCACCACGTGATGCATGCTCTGGGACCTTCTCCGTGCCCTCAGCTCTGCAACCACAGCTCTTTTTAAGAGCAAGTGCAGTTTGGCTGTGGAGGCCCTACTTCATTCTCTGCTCAGCAAGCCTCCTTGCAAAGGACCAGCGCAGTCTCCCCACGGCCCCTGCCCCTCTGTGGGACCCCAGGGCCCAGCCCCCCACCCTCCCCGACAAGCTGCCTTGTGGGGCTGCCGTCCTGTCCCACCAGTCTGCTCAGCTTTGCCCTCTGACCTTTCCCGACTCCCCTTCCAGAGTCAGCCCTGTCAGCCACGGAAGTACCATCGCCCTCTTCTTTCGGTCCTTGTTGCCAAACTACACCATGGAGGTACGTGGAGCTGATGTCGCCCCCACAGCCTGGGCTCCGGCATGTCCTGCTGAAGCCAGCACACGGGGACCAGTGTGCTTGGGAGCTGGGCTGGGCCCACTGAGACCGTGGCTGCCAGCTCGGGCGAGACGCTGCTGGGTGCACGTGGCTCACTGCCCCTCTGGTGGTCTGGTGCCTGAGACGCATGTCTGGCCCCAGGGGAGCTTGGTGGGAGCTCATAGCATCTTGTTGCTGCAGGGGGAGAGGCCAGAGGACGGCGGGGCTGGTCCGAACCACAACCAAGGCCTGAACAGGCTGATGCTGGCCGTGCGGGACATGATGGCCAACTTCCACTTCCACGAGCTGGAGGTGCCGCTCGAGGACAACCCTGAGGGCGACGGGGAGTGGGACTGAGGGCCCGAGGTGGGGCAGATGCCCCCAACGCTGTGCAATTATGTTCCTGATTCTGCCTGGTCGGAATTGGCCAAGTCCCTGAAGTGGACGTGCTGACTCACGGTCCGCCTGCCTCTTTCTCCTATAAACGTGAACAGGTTGTCTCTGCCAGGCGTGAGCTCTTCCTTCCCCGGCTGGGCTTAGCGCCCTGGGCATCCTGAGAGAGCGTACCCCGAGGTCACCCCAGGCAGTCCCTGCCCTCCAGAATGGGGTCCCACGGTTTCCTTTGCGTTCTCTGCTGGATGCCAGGGTGGGCTTCTAGTTGGGCCCTGGGGTCAAAGGGCCTGACTCCAGGGCCCTTGGGCACCGCAGACACAGAAGCTACAAACTCCAGGGCAGTGCTGAGTTGGAGGGAGGCGGAGAGGTGTGTTTTCAAAAGGATGGGGCACACGTGGCAGGGATCAGGGGTGCTTGATACAGGAGTCAGCAGAGCGTGGGGGGCGGCTGCATCAGCTGGGGCGGGTTCACAACCACTTGGGCTGCCTGTGACTGAGGATCCCGTTTGGTTCTGGAGGGATCCAGGCCACCGAGTTTGTGAGCCTGACCAGGCACCCTCCCAGCCCTGATTTCTACCCACAGAGGCTACCCGTGTGCTCTAGGGTGGGATCTGGGCCCCAGGCTGGCAGGAAATGTGGCCTGGTCACCTCTCGCCAGTGTCCGCCCACTCCTGGTCTCCTGACCCATCAGCCCATCTCCCAGGGAGTCCTCAGCAGAATCCTGCTCGTAGATGTGGTGTCACTGGGAGGCCCGTGAGGTCATCGTTTCAGTTGTTCAAGTGAGGGGTGCCTCTGTGCCTTGAACACCCGTGGTGAAGACCGGGCCCTTAAGACGCGGTACTGTCTTGTCAGTTATCCCTCTTGCCACCCACACTCAGCTCCAGGGACCGAGTCTGTCCTGGAGCCACTATCCTCCACAAGGGTGGCTGTGGTGAGCTTCAGCCAATAAGACAGAGTCTGCTTGTTGTCTTCTGGGAAGGGGTTTGTTCTCTGAAAATGGCAGGCAAGCAAGGAGAGCTTAGCACCCTGCCTTTTCCAGCCTTAGATACGTTAGGTGGGGATGTGATGTGTGGAGCTACAGCTCCATCCTGTGGTTGCAGCCATCCTGCAACCAGGAGTCAAACTTTGAAATGAAGAGACAGTGTCCTAGGGATGGTGAAGCAGAGGCTGGGCCCAGGCTGTGATGAAACTGCTCACCTCCCAGGCCTGCTCCCCGCCCCGTGCCCCCCCCACCGCCTCGGGCTCAGCCGTGCTGGCAGGTGGTCCTTACAGAGATGTTATTACCTCTCCTGGTGTGAGATGGCCAGGCCCTCACACCCAACACCTGCTCTGAAGGCTCAGCTGACCACCTGGGCCTCATTCTGCCCATGGGTTGCTGGTGGGTTGTGCCCTTTCCCACCAGATCAGACCCCACCCCATCTCTTCAGCACCAGCATCCAAGGGTGGGCACACAAGCCCCTCCCCTCCCCAGGTTCAGAAGAAACTAGACAGCCCTTGACCAAGACCCTGTGCCCCAGCTATGGGCCAGACCTTCCTGAGGTCCTTTTGTGACAATAGCCAGGGTCAGGCTACACATCCCCTATCTAGCAGGCCTCCCCGTGTGGTCATGGCTGCACATGGGCACCCCTTGACTGCAGGGAGAGGCTCCTCTGGCCCCAGCTCTCCCATGGCTGGAGCCTTGGTGCACTGCAGGCCCACCGTGTGCCTGGCACTATCCTGGTGTAGGGGACACAGGACCCAGGCAGGTCGGTGTCGGGTTTTGTGGTGGTACGCGCTCTGAGGGGTAGTTGTGTCCACGGTCTCCTGGCCGTTTCTCACTTTCTCCAGGGGCACTGGAGGGCGAGCTGAGGGAAGTGGCCTTAGGATGATCTGTGATTTCATGGAGACATTCCCCCGTGACTCCCTCCCACCGTTTCCCCAACAGGCACATCCAGTGAGAACCAGATGGGGAGTCGTGAGGCCTCATCAGGAGGGGGCTGTGGTCTCCTGCCAAAGGCTGCCCAGTTCTCACGCCCTTTGAAGTCTCAGGCTTGGGGGAGTGGGGCTGGGGTTGCACACGTCCGTCTGAAAAGCCTCATTTACAGAGCTGGAAACACTGTCCCTCAGGCGCAGTGACATGGGCTGGAGGCAAGATAGCCCGAGCCCAGCAGCCTCTCAGCGCCCTGCGAGTCCTGGGCCTCACGTGGCAGAGACGGAGCCTGGGTTCAGGGCAGTGGTGCCAGCACGGCCCGTGCCTCATGATCATGCCCTGGGACCCTCTGCTCCCCTTGGGGTCCTCCAGGGGCAGTGGGCAGGGGGCACAAGGCCCTTCCTGTCCTCCTCTGCCTGGGGAGTGGCCAGAAACAAACAGGTCCACCAGTTTGGAAAGTGGTTTGGCAGAATCTACCAAAGCTGAAGATGTGCCTCTGACCAGACAGAGATACAGGTGCCTGTGTCCACCCCGTATGGGACAACAGCACTGCACTATCTGTGCAGGAAGTCAGGAACCGCCCAGACACCCACCATGGCCTGAGCATGAGTGAGCGTCGTGCCCCCCAGGGTGTCTCAGTGCTGAGTGAGGAGGGGTCAGGGTCCATGTGCACCAGGTTCCAAGCAAGGCAAAAGTAACCGACGGTCAGGGCGTGGCTCCCTGGGCAGGAGGACGCCACGACGTTCTGGTGCAACTACTGTTGGATTCACTCACTGACTGGGTGCTGCTTGCCAGGCTGTGTGCAGGATGAGGCATCTGCCAGCCTGCATGTTAACAGTTTCTATGCACTTTTATGTATGGTACACTCCAATAAAAATCACGAACAGGGCAAAAGGGGGCAGCCCTGTGGGTTGTGCAGAAGGAGCAGGGATGGACATGAGCCTGGTCACGCGTGGGCGTCCTGGACACACCTTAACGGGACACCCAGCCCTCCTCTGACTTACTTGCTGCCTCAGCTCCACCCTCCATCCCAGCTCCATCCCCTCCCTCCTCGTCCCTCAGAGAAGGGTTTGTCGTCAGCACCAGCGGCCTTCAGTGAGAAAGTGCTGGCGGCACCGACACGGAGTCAGGCGGTCCTGAGGCCAACACGTGGCTGGAGACAGATGTCTGCCCTTGATGTGGTTCCTGGCTCTGGGCTGTGGTGACCTTTTGCAGAGGAAATGGGGACTTAGGGATGGACTGGCAACTCTGTCCCCTTCCTCCCCCAGGATGAGCCAGCAAAGTCTCCTCTGGCCGATGTGACGAGGGTGCCCTCCAGCAGTGCACAGCGAAGGGGTTGGGGGCAGGGCTGTCCGCAGCCACCAGTTAACGTGGGGTAGGGGTGAGGGCTGAGGGTGCACAGTCAACAGCCAATGACTTTTCCTTAGGCAGAAGGGCGTGAGATGAGTTTCAAAGAGGCGGTGGTGCTTTTGTGTGGGGCCTGGAGGCAGGTCCAGAGGCAGCCCTACACGCCCAGGCGCCTGGGTCTGCGGCCAGCCAGAGCAGTGGTTGGTGAGACTGGCCAGACTGCAGTGGCGCTGAGCTCTGAGGAGCCAGGGCAGGCCTGGGTACTGTTGGCGCCATCTGGAGGCATCTAAGGTGCCATGGCTCGCATGGTGCGTCCAGGGCCGCACGCCCATCATGTGGCCCCTCTCAGGAGGAGGGGCTCCGTGGTTACTTTAAAGATGCCAAGAAAGGCTCCATTCTCCTGGAACATCGGCCCACCCCTGACCAGGAGGAGGCAAGAAGCCTAGAGATGTCTGGACCTGAGCGGCCACACTCCCAAGGAAGAGGTGGGGAGGTGGGCTGAGGACCAGAAGAGACGCAGGAGCCCAGAGGGCTGGCACCACGGAGCTTGGGGTCCTGGCTGCGAAGTGACCAGACTCTGGTGGAGAAGCCTGGGGCCTCTCCGGCTGGGTCATGCCTGGGCTGGCACTTGTCCAGCCAGGGAGAAGGTGAGTGTGAGGGCCTTCCCAGGGTGGCCATGAGTTGAGAGGGAGCCCGGGAGAGTGAAGACCCTTTCCTGCTCCCTGGCAGGACGATGCCTGTGCTCGGCCCCCAGAGGAGGCTGCTGGGCTCCCTCAACTCCACCCCCCAAGCCACCACCCACCTCGGACTGGCCGCCAACCAGACGGGGCCCCAGTGCCTGGAGGTGTCTGTTCCCGACGGGCTGTTCCTCAGCCTGGGGCTGGTGAGCCTCGTGGAGAACGTGCTGGTGGTGGCTGCCATCACCAAGAACCGCAACCTGCATTCTCCCATGTATTACTTCATCTGCTGCCTGGCCGCGTCGGACCTGCTGGTGAGCATGAGCAACGTGCTGGAGACGGCCGTCATGCTGCTGCTGGAGGCTGGCGCCCTGGCCACATGGGCTACGGTGGTGCAGCAGCTGGACAACGTCATGGATGTGCTCATCTGCGGCTCCATGGTGTCCAGCCTCTGCTCTCTGGGTGCTATCGCCGTGGACCGCTACATCTCCATCTTCTATGCACTGCGCTACCACAGCATCGTGACGCTGCCTCGGGCATGGCGGGCCATCGCGGCCATCTGGGTGGCCAGCGTCCTCTCCAGCACCCTCTTCATCACCTACTATGATCACACAGCCGTCCTCCTCTGTCTCGTCAGCTTTTTTGTAGCCATGCTGGCGCTCATGGCGGTGCTATATGTCCACATGCTGGCCCGGGCGTGCCAGCATGCCCGGGGCATCGCCCAGCTCCACAAGAGACAGCGCCCCATCCACCAGGGCTTTGGCCTCAAGGGCGTGGCCACGCTCACCATCCTGCTGGGCATCTTCTTCCTCTGCTGGGGCCCCTTCTTCCTGCACCTTTTCCTCATCGTCCTCTGTCCTCAGCACCCCACCTGTGGCTGCATCTTCAAGAATTTCAACCTCTTCCTTGCCCTCATCATCTGCAACTCCATCGTGGACCCCCTCATCTATGCCTTCTGCAGCCAGGAGCTCCGGAAGACACTCCAGGAAGTGCTGCAGTGCTCCTGGTGAGGGGCGGTCTGCGCGATCAAGTCCGGCTGCTGGGCAGAGGGAGGTGGTGCTATCCGGTGGCCTGACTCCCGTGTGCTGGGGCAGTTACTTGGCAATGAGGAGAGGCTTGGTCATCTCTGAAGGTGTGGAGGCACTGACCCTCTGGGGCCTGAGAGAGGGATAGCATGAATCTCCAGGAAGAGCTGTGGGGAATGGAGGCAGCTGGGGAGACGGTGGGGCTGCAGGCACCGGGCAGGCAGGGGGCTTGTGGACACTCTCCCCACACCTGGGGAGCTCCACCTCCGTCCAGAGACCTGTGGCACCCACCTTCGCTGCCGGCTCTGGGGACTGTGCCCCACACACTGGGATGTGAGCTGTGTGAGACTTCTGTTTCCAACAGGGGCCTCAGGGGAAGGAAGAAGGGGCAGGGCTTCAGTGGGAGAGTGGGGCTTCTCTATGCTAAGAATCAGTAGGGACCAGAGAACCAGGGCCGAGCCTGCCTGTCTGTACCACACACACGGGGGAGACAGTGCCAGCCAACGCCTGCTCAGGCTGAAGTAGGGGCTAGTACCCAGTCCCTCAGGGCCAGAAAGCAGTCTGGTAATAAATGCTATGTTTGGCACAGCCTCTTTCCAGAAGTTGCTTGAAGCTTGAGGCCTGGGAGGAGTGGGGGCAGCGGGGGAAGGGGAAAGAAGTAAGTCCAAGAAGCCAGCCAGAAACCAAGGCTGGCCTGCCCAGGTGACGGAAGCCCAGCCCCAAGGGCCTGAGGACCCCAGTCACACCTACTCCATCCCATATCTGCTCCTTCTCTGGGATGCCAACCCCAGCCCAGTGCAACTAGAGTCAGAGGCTGCAGCTCCCCTGCCCCCAGTCACCTCCAGGGTGACAAGACTCAGCAGAAGCAGGATCACCATGACCCATGTGGCCAGAAAACGTCCCTTTCTCTGCCCGGTCCTACAGCCCCTCCTCCATGTCTGCTCCAAGGTGTCCTGCGGGTCCCACGCTGCAGGGTGGCCCTGTGGATGGGGTCTGCTCTCCTCCAAGCACTGCCCTTCTGGGAGAAGGCTAAGTGCTCAGCCAGCCCTGGGAGGTGTAAGGCAAGGCCCTCCAGAACAGAGTCAGGCTGTCCAGGGCTGCAGGGGGTCCAAGCCCCAAGGGAGTGGGCATCTGGGCTGGACTATGCTGCCTGGTGCTGGGAGCCTTTGGGTCCTCCCTCTGCTGCAACCCTGGGCTGAGTTCCCACCCAGTTCCCCCACAGGCACAGTGTATGGTCGAACCCCTTCCTGGTACAGGATCAGTGGAGGAAAAGTGAGGTATCGGCCAGCTTCAAGGCAGGTCTGGTAATGCCTGCAGCCCCCTGGCCAGCCACCCAGCTCTGTCTCAACCAGTCCCCACCCCACTCACACCCACAGCTCCAGCCCTGCCTGCTGGCCTCAGGGCTGGGAGCTGGTTCCCGGCAGGGCAGCCTTTGCTGGGAGACAGGACGATGAGTCAGCCTCGAGTCGGCACCAGAGCCCTCTGGGGATGGAGGGGAGCTGGCCTGGCCCAATGCCTTCCCAGAGGCAGGCAGGAAGGGTGAGGGGCCCTGGCTGACA